ATGTTATAAAACTGATTAATAAAAAAGGACTTTTTTTTTTTTTACATTGGATTGTAAAATTATACTTTTTAAATACAACAATTTTTAGGAACGACTGTTAGTCACAACTATTATATTTTAAATTTAATAAAATTAAAGAATATTATCATTATAATAATATAATAATTTCTAAATGTCTATATGATATTTTATGGGTATTTTTAAATTTTGATAATAATACACAATTTTGATAAATTTTGATAGTACACAATTTCTGAAAGGTTGTAAATTATTGATTTCTATTTAGTTTATCGTACAAAGATTTCAGTTGTAAATAGACAAAATACAAAATTCACATTATATATTAGATAATATTTTCAAAAATTGCTTTATTATGATATTAATAAAATTGATAAATATTTTTATAACATTTAAGATCTTATATTCAATTTGTTTAATATTAAATTTGCAATAATAAATTTTTTGTATTAAAATTTATATATATGTTTTATAATTTCAACAATAACAATATTTTTAATTATTATCTTGTAATTTATATATTTTATTTTTAAATAAAATTTTGAAAGATATAAATTAATATAAATTTAATCTTATTTGTGCAATAAGTTAAATGTTACTATTACAATAATAAATATTTTTGTATTGTTGTAAAGCTAAAAATAAGAATTAAGATAATTGAATTTATTTTCTAAATCTTGATAAGACAATATATTTTTATAGTCTAATTTTTACAATTTTATAGATTGCAGTGTAAAAATATATTACAAATATTTTAATTGATCAAGGATATTCTCTGAATTTGTCATTTAATATTATATTTTAAGTTAGAACTTCGTACATTCAACTTCTTTAATCTTAAAGAACTATCTATTCAATATGTTTATTATTTGTCACAAGAGCTAATTTAATTTTTTTTAATATATCAATTTTAATCTCATAAATATTTTAGGAATGATTATATTATATATTAATATATATATAATATATTATATATATTATATATATATTTATAGCACACATTAAGATAATTATAATTTTTACTTTTTTGATACTTTTTCTTTCTTAAAGAGAAAATATTTTATGCTCTATAATTATGATTAGGAATAGGATTTGGAATTTTAGATTGATACTAAAATAGTTCTAAAATGAAGTTTAAGTATATGATCTTTTTGAATGTTGAATATTAGAAAATCATAAATAAAATTCATAAACATAGCATATATAATATATAATCTATAATTATAATATAATCTATAATTCATTCAATTTGAATGAGTAATTTCTCAGATTCATTCCATTTTACACATAATAAGATAAATTCTCTAAACAAATAATTTTTTTATATCATTTTTTAATATCATTTATAAATGTTTTTGATATCATATTTTTTTTTAATAAAATAAAATTTTTGTAATATGTTTTGACAAATTTTTTAATAGTTACATTTACTTATTTATTATGTTATTTATTATAGTATTTTATTCTCAACACATGTGAGATATATGTATAAACTATTATAAATATACAATAAAAACTATATAAACTATTATAAATTCATTGAAAAGTATTTTGTCTTGCTATTTAAAGAATTATAAGCATATATTTTTACTTTATTAGTCTTTTGAAAAAAATAAAGAATTTTTATAATATAAACTTTTTTTTATCAGATTAAAAATGAAATAATTCAAAATAGTGCATTTTGAGAAAAAAAATTTTATGATGATAAATCAAATTCTTTATAAATACTTTACAAAGAAAGAATATATACTATATATATATACACTATATATATAACAAAATCGATAAAATATTAGAAAAAAATTTCTTTGGGAAAATTTCATAAATATAGGGAAAGTCAATATTTTATATTCATTTATCTCCTAAATTTAAAATAATAATAAATGATGATAAGTAATTTTTATGGTCAAATTCAAATTCGATACACAAAAATATATCGAAAAATTTTTCATTTTCAAATGAAAAAAATTTATTGGTTTTATTTCAGATATATTATTTTGTCATTTGTTTTTTACATAAACGGATAAATTTTATAAAAGAAAATATCAATTATATTTGATTGTTCTTTATGTTATTAAAAAAAGAATACTTTGTATGAATATATATTTAAAATTTTATAAATTAATATCGAGAAACACTAAATTATAAGGTGTGCTATCATTTTATCGAGTAGTTTTTGAATCATTTTTAAATATATCATGTCCGATAATTTAGCTATATCATGCATTTTTAATTATATTTTTAATTGTGGTGAGGATAAATATGATAAATAATATTGATTTTATTAAAATTGTATTTTAATTATATGTGGCGCTCATTCGATTCGAACATTTGAATTATTAAAATTTTGAATTTTTTTTATAATAAAAAAAATTTTGTCTAAAAGTAGTCTAATCATTGGTATAAAACAATATTTGAAAAAAATGTAAAATGCAACTTATCTCATTATTTTTTTATTTTTAAAAATTTTATTATACATGAATTTTTTTTTGTTCTTATAAATAAAACGATTTATTTTTTTATGTATAATTGTATTATTATATAATTATTATATAATTGTATTATTAAATTTTTTAAAGATTTAAAGATTTAAAGATTTAAAGATTTTAAAGATTTTATAAATCTATTAGTAACTCATTTTATTTTATTTGGAATATTATATTATTATAAGAATATTTTTACATAATTCCTATAAATTATCGAATTCTTCTATAATTCAAACGAATAATTAATTATTATAAACAAAAATTGTTATAATTTCTCTATTTTGTTATAATTGCTATATTGAGCGATATAGGAATGAATAATTTTTTGCGGATCATAATGTATAATTCTATTATCTTTTCACTTTTTTATATATTTGTTCGTAAAATATTGAACGATGTAAAAATTTTGTATGGATCATCAGTATATAATTTTATGATTTTTTTTGCTTTTATGCTCGTGAAACATTGATACTCATATTCAATTTAATCCGTGTATAAAACTAAATCAAAATTATATCTTTGTGAAGTATTAAAAATTGAATATGATAAGTAGCATATATAAGGAAATCTTGTAGAAAAATTTTGATGACAGGTTCGCAGAAAAATTGTGTGTAGAATTTTTGATGATTGCACTATTTCTTAAAATATTATTCTCTACTAAAAATATGTTCTCTATTATCATTGTCATTATTTGAATATTTGTTTTTATTGTTATTTTATGTATCCTTGATTTTTTTTTTATTTTCACTTTGTCCGCATAACATCCGCAGCGTACTAAAAAATTAAAAAATTTGATGGCAATGAAAACTCGATTTTCATAATGTTATAATTAGAAAAAAATTCATGTTATTAGAGAGAAAATTAATTGATTAAAAATGTTTTAATAATAAACTTCATTTTTTATTTTCTTTTATTTTCTTGATATTTATAAATCAATGGAGAATTGCAAATAATATCAAAATTTTATAATTTTCAGATAAGTTTTATAGTTTTCATTCATGATTATGAGAAATTTTATAAATGATATAATTTGATTATATTATTTATTATATCAATTATTATATCAATCTTATAGGTACATAATTTAGGATATGTTAATAAATTTTTTAATATTGATCGAATTATCTACATCTTAACAAAAACTTCAATTTCTTTAAACTTTTAAAGAATTATAATCATTTTTAAGGGATGTAATTGAAATCATATAAAAGAATGAATTATTGTTTTTTAGAAAGAAAAATTATATTCATTATATTATTTTTATTTTCTATCGCTGCTTAAAATCAATGGAAAATTATAAATGGCATCAGAATTCGTTTTGTTTTATAAAATAAATTTACATTTATTATTTTGAAAAATTTTATGAAAGATAATTTAAATTCGTTACATATTTTATTATATAATTATTTTCTTAGATACATAAATTAGGATAATATGTTAATAACTTTTTTAATATTTTTTAATATTGAACGAAGGAATTAACTATATCTTAATAAAAACTTTAACTTTTTTTAAGTATTTAATCATTTTTAATGGATTTAATTGTAATCATATATGAAAATGAACGAATCATTGTCTCTTAGAAAGAAATAAAATTGGATTCATTATGCTATTTTTTTCTATATCACTACTTAAAATCAATGGAGAATCACAAATAATATCAAGACTGCTTATAAGTTTTATAATTTTCATTCACTTATGAGAAATTTTATGAGAAATTATGAGAAATTTTATAAAAGACACAAATAAATTTGGATTCATAATGTTACTTTCATTTTTTATATCTCTATTTAAAATCAATGGAGAATCACAAATGTCATCACGATTTGTTGTAAGTTTTATAATTTTTATAATTTTCATTCATGATTATGAGAAATTTTATAAAAGAAAGATATAAAATTGGATTTATAATGTTACTTTCATTTTTTATATCACTATTTAAAATCAATCATAAATGTTATCAAGATTACTCATAAATTTTATAATTTTCATTCATGATTATGAGAAATTTTATAAAAGAAATAAATAAATTTGGATTTATTATGTTACTTTCATTTTCTATATGTCTATTTAACATCAATGGAGAATCACAAATGTCATCATGATTCGTTGTAAATTTTATAATTTTTATAATTTTCATTCATGATTACGAGAAATTTTATAAATGATG